CTGAGTACGATAGGGAAAAAGCAGAAGCCGTGACTGGATAATCTGCTGAGATCTTCACATAGGAATCTTCTGTGGACAGTTATCCAACAGTAAAAGCATTGATTACAACAGAATAAACTCTGTGGAAGTCGATCGCAATGATGTATTTCGGACACTAAGTACTGTGGATGTAGAAAAATCAACGGGACCGGATGAGCTGCACCCAAGGCTGCTCAGAGAGCTTGTACTCTATAAAGTCGGCCCATTGACTACTATATTCAAACTGTCTCTCAGTGAAGGCACACTCCCCTATGACTGCAAGGCAGGTTCTAGGCAGCCCCCATCAAATTACTGACCGATAAGTTTGATTAATACTGTAGTGGAAATCCTATAAATAGTAATCAAAAAGCCATCATAGTCCACCTAGAGAACAACATTCTATTATCTCCTTCACAGAACCGTTTTCGTAGAAATTTCTCTTGCTTGACGAACCTCCCAATAGTCAGAGAAATTTGGGTTAAGTCTAAAGATGATAGCACACCGGTAGATGTCATTTTCATTGACTTTAGTAAGGCGTTCGACAAAGTACCTCATTCCAGGTAGTTCGGGAAACTGGAAAGTTTTGGAATCACTGGCAGTCTGCTCGCATGGATAAGGGACTTTCTTGTTAGTAGAGGACAAAGTGTTAGAATCAATTCTCAACTCTCCACTTGGAAGTCGGTAGAGAGTGGAGTGCCGCAAGGCACAGTCCTGGGCTCCCTACTGTTTTTTCTCTGCTTAGATGAGATGCCGAATGTCACGAAATCCCTATGGTCCTCTACGCTGATGTAAGTATCTAGAAGGAAATTAGGAACGATGAGGGTATATGTGAGTTTCAGACAGATCTGAACAACTTGTTTACCTGGTCAAAGAAGTATCTGATGCCTGTCAATGCAGGTAAATGTGTGAGCATGCACTTGAAGCACACACACGGCAACACCTACGACATTGGTTAGACTCTTTTACCGTCAGTACTGACCCACAGTGACCTGGAACCACAGTGAGTTATGACCTGAAAACCACTTCTCACTGTCGATTGGTAGCAGCTTGGAGTTTTAGGACTCTCTGGGCATTATGTAGAACGTTTACGAGAATAAGTGGTGACATGCTCACCATCTTATACACATCCTTAGTTAGGTCTGAATTAGAAAACTGTACGCAGACGGCTAATCCTTGTCCAAAAGGTGACGCAGACATTCTAGAAAGAGTTCAGAGAGCAGCCGCTCGTATGATCCCTGCGATGGCTGGCCTTAAGGAGCTGAACCTCTTCACTTTGTCATATCGCAGACAGAGGGAAGACCTAATAATGCTATACGAAATTGTAAGAAATGACTTCGGATCTGATCTATCTTCTAGTTTCCTTCCCACTAGGTCAAAACAACTCAGAGGACATAGTAAAAGGCTACAAAAGCAAAGAACGAAGATAGTCTCCGCAGAGTACCGGTTCTCGCATCGAGTAATCAACACCTGGGACCGACTTCCAGAAGAAGCAGTGTTCACATCATCAACTGACTCGTTCAAAAGGGGGTTGGACAAACACAGAAATCTACTGGAAAAGGAATAATATAGGCTCCCAGCCTCCTATCCTCAAACAAGAAATCTGAATCTGATAGTAATTAAGACATCATGTAAAGCTCACTAATGTAACCAGCCTCAAGGTCGTTATGAATGGAGACTACGGTAACTGTGTGTACCGGACACAAACTTGATGCGTTTGAATAAAAGTTGAAATATTTCATTGTTGGATTTGAACAATGCACCTTTTTGGCTCGGATTTATAACTTGCTGCAAGGTTATCAGTCTTTGATGTCAACTGGTACGAGAATAGGTAGGCTTAATAGTTCTGCAATCACTGAGGAATGGTAAAATGAACAAAATGTGTACATAGTATTGTAAATGTTTCATCATTACTAATGAGCAAAATATAACAGACATATCAATGAAGGAATTAAATTCAAATTTCATTCTTCTCCATGCAATAAATACAATGTGTAAATCCGAATCCCGATTTACTTTTTGGTGGAAAGACGATACTTTCATACTTCTAAGGCTATTCTTTAGGTTAAGAACCACAGAAACTGGTGATCCACGGATTTTAGATGCGGAAGCCGTTTGAACTAAAACTTCTTTTATTCTGTTAACAACCATTTGAATGATGTCATTCTTTGCATACTTATTTTGTTGATATACTTCATTTTATTAACATGCAGTATCTTTCAGTAACTTAACAGTTGGGAATTATTATTATCTGCCATGATAAAGGGTGAGATTTACATTTCAGAAAAATGTACTCATACCTGTAAATATTTTCATTATTATTACCTACTGTAACAGACCTTATTGTCGGGAAAGTGATAATCATATCATTCAAAAGCGCGGACACCTCAGCATGTAGTAACATTTTAAGGCTCAATAAATAGAACTCAACGAGTTTTTCTGTGCACTGATAACTCCGACCTACCTTCGTAGCCTTTTTGACACTTTCATAACACCGGCTGTCCTTTACAAGTCATACTTTGTGAACAGGTAACGGCTGGATTCATAGAGAGGACTTTTGAAGCATAAATTAGGGCAATAAGAAACCTGCTTTTGATATTTCTATAGCCTGTCAGAATCGACTCGCCAATTCGTGGGGGCTAGGTTTTAAACCCTATCTCTGGACCATAGAATAAGACAATATTTATTGATCTATCTGGATTAGAAACAAATTTCAAGCCCTGGGATAAGAAATGATGTAAAACTTTGCAATATCTGTGTACGTGCCTAACTGCAAGAACATTTTCTAGGACGGAGAATACACTTTATCATTCTTACTCCAGCATCTTGATATAAGAGTGACAGGTTTTTGTACTGTCTTAACATTTAAGCTACAAACACTTGATAGGCATCTATAGTAGAAACAGACTTGTTTTCTGCTTAGAAAAATCTAAGAGAAGCCTACGTATTTACGAAATTTAAAGTATTTCATAAGATGTTCCTATGGTGCTCTTTAAAATAAATCACCTGCCTGGAAACAATGTCAGGAAGTGGAAATAATAATTACTACCTTCGCTGCAGATCTAGAGCAGAACTGACTGTACAGTAACAATCTAATCTGATCTTGATAATGAACTGTTTGTAGGCACAAGTGTCCGAATCAGTAGAGCTAGATATATCACTCTAATCTTCAGTGTATTCTAAGCACGAAACAGATGGTACCTAAACTGATATAGGTACGGTTGACTTCAGAATTTGCACCAAAGAAATACCTGAACAGTTTTATATGATAATCATCATTTTTATTATTACTTATTCTTTGGTTTACTAGTGCAACATAAAGCTTCAGTAGCACGCCTCCGTTGCACTCTCTTCTCTGCAATATCTTCAACCTGGCTCTACAACTGCCCAAAAGCTTTCATTTCTTCCTCCCACCATCTCTTCCATGTCACCCTTAGCTGGGACGCCCAACTCGTCATTTCCCCCTTGAATTCCACTCGAGAGGCCTGACCTGACACATGATGTCCCGAATGTTTTCTCAGTGTATGCCCAATCCATTTTCACTTCCTTCTGCATATTTGTTCGGCGATAGGTTCTTGATTGGTTCGTTGCCAGAGTTCCTTGCTGCTCATTCTTTCTGACCATCTGATCTTCAGTACCGAATGAGCGAAGGCGGCAGCTGTTGATGTATGTCTGTAGCCTGTCGGAAATGCTTTTCGTGACGCGCCAAGTCTCTGAACCATCACACAAAAGCACTGACTAAATTAGTCTTGAAAATCTGCATCTACTTCAATCTTTTTGCTGGGTGCAGTGCAGTCGATCTCCACACTGATTTCAGATTAATGAAGGCCTGTCTTGCTGTCTTTCCGATCTTGGTTTTGACGTCCTCATCTGTGCCGCCACCTGTAGTTGATACTATGCTGCCTTGCCTAGGTTGCTGAAAGAGACAACTTCCTAAACATTTCTCCGGTTGATGGTGATTGGTGTATGTTGTTATTGTTGTTGTTGGGTGGGTATCTTCATCACTTCTATCTTCACTCCATCCACTTGAAGTCCCGTCTTCACTGCGCCACCTCTTCTGTCAACTTGTTAGTTTTCGCCTGTAGATCTCCGAGTTTGTGCGATGAGACATAAATCATCATCTTCGGTGAAATCCAAACCTTGTTCCGGGGTATTTTCGTTGGTCCATTCAGCGTGTGCTCATCTTCTCGCTCCTCACAGTTGTTTGCTGCATGACTCAGTCCAGTCTAGTCGACTACAATTAGGAAGATCATCGGTGATAGTAGACGGCAACCTTGTCTTACCCCTTCCTGCCTTCACTTCAAAGGCACCAGTGACCTTTTGATTTTGAATCACTCGGCATGTAGCCTCATCATATAGCATAGCATATAGCTGTTGAATGAGGTTGATAAAGGTTTGTAGCAGCAAAACAGTAGTGTAGAAGCAGTTTCCAAATTAATCGTCGGTCGACGCTATCGAAGGCCCTTTCAAAGTCGATGAAGTTGAGCTGGAGGTTGAGTTGACTGCCACTACATACTCTGTTCTATGATGATGCGCATCGCATGGCGTTGCAGTTCGATCACAGATGATTTGTTCTTCCTTAAGCCAGCCAACCACGATGTTCCGGTCGTAATTTTGAATACAGTGCATCCTTTAGTCTCTCCAGGATAATGCAGTTTAATATTTTGCTTGGGGTGGACATCGAGGGACATGAGCATGATTCGCACCAGTTCTTGCAAAGACTTAGGTCTCCTTTCTTTTGAAGTTTGATAAGGTAGCTCTTCTTTTAATCACCAGGTATCTTTCATGCCTTCCTCTCTTCCTTCCTTCCCTTCCTTGTGCAATAGTGGTGTGAGCATGTCCGCTGTTGTTTCTGCGTATGTTTTCAGTGCTTCTGATCCTGCTGCTTTCCCACATTTCAGCAACTTTATGGCGCTCAGGACTTCACTACTGCTTTTGTTGGAGGGCTTGTGTTCACTGATAGTTCTGTGGCTGGAGTGCTGGTAGTATTTCTGGACGAGTTGCAGGTGGCGGTCGAGTCAAGAGTTTTTTTGAAGTGGTCTGCCCATCGTTTCCTTTGCATCTCCCCTTTGATAATTAAATTTCTTCCATCATCTTTTATTGGTTTTATCTGTGTTGATCTCTTCCCAGACAGCAAGTTACCTGGTTATTTGATATAATGTTGTCAGGTCTCTGTCTTTCCTACCAGCAACGTGTTCTGCTTCACTTGCCAGTGTATCGTGGAAGTGTCTTTTGTCTTTGCGTGCACTCTTCTTCACTACTTTGTCCAGTGTTTTATACGTCGTACTCAGTTCTTCTTTTCGTTGTGCATCCTTGCGCTGGTTCACCATCGTCCATTATATCTGCTCTGTCAGCATCCATGTGTCCATCTAGATCCATTGCTTATCTTCTTTCTTCTTCCTTCCCAACGTGGTTATGCAGGTTTCCTTCCACATCTGTTTCAAAGAGCTCCAGTGTTCTTCCATGCCCGATCCTTCAGGGATATTGCTCTATGCCTCCTATTTTGTTCTGATGATTGGCTGACGTGAAGATGTCCTTTGTAGTTTCGTCCTTCAGTTCAGTTTCTGTTCTGGGTGTTCAACTTGAACTTGAACTGTGGTCTACCACCAACTTCTGTGAAGGCTTTCAACGTGATTTTGAAGGTAGGATCCGTGTATTACATAGTGAGTGGTGTAAACCTACATCTGCTCCTCTTCTTGATCTGATCTTGTGTCCAATAAACTGTGTCTCCGCTTTCTTGCGATTGAGATGAAGTCGATCTGATTTTTAGTGTGTCCTGGTGTCTGGTGAAATCGAATCCATGTCGCTGCCTTGTGAATATCCTTGTGTTTGTACACAGTGCTTCCAATCACCAGATCTTCAAAGGGGTATCAACAGTAACAGAGACTCATGGTTCATTGCAATTTTTGCGTGCGATTGAGGTAGCTGCGGGGGTTAATTTAATACTATCGCGGATAAGTAACACGTTTTCTCATATTTGCGAACTCTACACTGTGATTATTCTTATTAACTGAGTGAAACTTGTCTAATTTTATCGTGAAACTAATCATTAAATGAGATTGATCATTCAGTGATGTTGAAAGGGATAGAAACTTCAATTCAGTCAATAAGTTAGATGAAACATGATGCCTGAGTTGTATAAGTATTTGGCCTCTTGCAGGCGGGAATTATGCATTCAATTTTTTAACATTTATGACACCTGAGAATAAAAACCGAGTGGTTCCCAAGGGTACTTTTTCACAGGAATAATATGATATGATACTGTTTGGATTCAGGTATGATACTGGAACGCATTTACGATTCACTTGATGAATCTAATTGTATGCAGATGGCTTTTGAGATTGGCCATGGTCGACAACAGCCCTGGCAACCCTTGAGAGCATCACATTACATTGTGACTTAAATTACCTCGAATGTTCACTGTTGACATCGTTTTATATTAAAACCAAATCTATGGTTACTTAAAAGGCACAACAAGGTATTTGAACTAGTTCCTATTTCAACTCCGAAAAAATGTATTAGGGATTACTTGATTGCTTACTTTAGCATTCAAATGGTCATAAAAACAACATTTGAAGTCTGTGTTTGAATCTGGGAATGAAACTACAAAACTTTTGATCAGATGCTTGAAGAACGTTGATGAAGTGGATTTTCTCGTGCGTTTTAAACTATTTGTGGTGTGTATGCCTAATGGTTCAAAATATGTTCCAACATGAATCAGATAATGCTAGCAGATATCACCTCTGTTTAACCAGAATGTTATAGGTCCTATCCTAACCAACACGTGCCAACCGAACACAGGTAAACCAAAAAACAAACACCACCGGATTTGAAAAGATGTAATTAGTTGAGCTTTTCGCTGTCCAATATACATAGACAAAATTAGTTTTAATATTGATGTGATATAGGTAATATATGGTGCTCGTCACGAAATGTGAATAAAGCTACATGGAATATATAACAAATATGCCAACTGAAAGGAAAAGGCTTAGAAAACGTCTGTCGACTGATCACTGTTTGGAATAATGACGTAAACAGGTGTTGTTACGCTGTCTCTAGAGGTGTTTCCTCGTGCAAATTAATACATAAGATCAATTGATAGTTACAGTAAATTCCGATTGAAGAGATATGTTAATTTCATTGTGTATAAAATCCTTCACTTTCAGACTGACAGTCTTTCGGAGTTATGTTTTGTTTCCGATTGTCTAAAGGTTTTTGTGTCTGTTTAATGCATTTAATGTGTCAAACGGTTGAAAATATTCTGTGGCTCTTAGGAAATCTGAAAACATGTTTTGTTAATTCAGGATCCTGATTTATCCGGTATTAACGAATTACATTTTCATTTTCATAATCTCTTGTTTATTTTTCTACTGCGAACCCTCATTTGTATTCACTAACCTCCTTTCGTTACTCAAAATATTTTGCCACGTGGACGGAAATAATTCTGGAATACCTTGCCCACTGTAACATATATTCATGAATATGCAGCCTAGTAAATGACTTCGTCACAAAGAAAGATTTTTCCTCTGCAACCGCCTTTTTGTCTTTCGTAATATCTTGTGTATTTTTATCTAGTTTTTCCAACCTGATGATGCCTGTGAACCAGCCTCTCTCATCTCAGATTACTCAAATAAGAGAAGAAATAATTAGTATTATAACTGACTGAGCGAGTTTTCGATACGATTGTTCTTTTAGTCACCGACAGTATCAAACAAGCATAAGAATGCTGCTCTTCAACACAGCCAAGATTTATTCAAATACTGAAATGCCATTTTTCCCAAGTATTTAGAGATAACACAGAAAATGTCAATGATTATAATAATTTTCATTGACGGGACCTGCATATTCATTCTTCAGATGATGGTCTTTTTCTGAAAATCTTTCGAGTTTCTAACATATGGTGGTCACATAGTTCTATTGAATACCTTTCCTATGGTGCATCTCGCCATGTCTATGAAACCAATATTCGTTGAGCAGTTTTGTAAATTTATAAAGTAGATTCTAGGCAACAAAATACCATTAGATTAAAGGGGGATAAATAAATATATAAAATTTCTATATAATAAGTTAACCGTTTGCTAAAACATTAGCAGATGCCTTTCAGTCTTGTAAGGTTCATGTCTCAACGCGTAGACATCCACCCATGGAAAATGGCTACTGTGCTTTTTCCGTCTGCTGACCAACAATTTCATCCTCAAGGTTCATAGATCATCTATTTATAGGCAGATAAGTAATAACGTTGAACAAAATAACTCTTTGACTGCGGACTGATAAATACACTGCTCATCTGATCGTTTTTACTATCCAACGTGATTCCTTATTTGTCTTTTGTATGAAAGTCACTGGTTAGTTTGGTAGTGGTGCGCATCGATTTGATTGAGTCTAGTCACTTATTAGCTAGTGACAATACGATTAGTCTTTCAAAACTGGTAAACCTTAATATTGTTCCGTCCCATAGTGTCCAGTGTCGTTTCTGACCTGTTTTCGTTTGTTTTCCTGAGCAAATCTCAAACACAACGGTGTCTTGTATTTTCTGAATATTTTTATGGTTTTTATCGTTTGAATCCTTTTTAAATATATTATATGTCAGGTTTCTGTATAGTTTCCTACCTTCTTGACATGCAGACTATCAGTCTAGTGTGCCCTTGTTGAAGTTCAGTTCACGAGAATGAGAATCACTTCATAAGAAACTAAGTCTAACTTATTTTCTTTTCTGTTTTCCGAAGAATATCATCGAACAGGTTACTTTCGTATTTGACAATTATGCTCTGAATCAATATGAATAACTTGGACAAGCTTTCATCAAACCCTTCGCCTTGGCAAACCAAACAAGAGTGCAGCAACTTTTTGGGGTTACCTGGGTCGAAGAAAATGAAGGTGAAATTGCTTCTTCCAAGTTTCAGGATCGAGAATGTATTTCTCAAACAGCTACTGCTCCGAAATCCTCTGCAGTCAGCTTGCAGCATGCTTGCATCTTTCATCGGTCTTATAATAATAATAATAATAATAATAATAATAATAATAATAATAATAATAATAACAATAATAATAATAATAATAATAATAATAATAATAGCTTTGCTCCAAACAATTTGTTCGATACAGAATGAAATTCTCAGCATGCAATATTTCAGCAAATGCACTCCCAAAACATTATTTTCCAACAAAGTGATTATTGCATCTGAATGGTGTTTATGATAATAGCATTAAAGGTAATTGTGTGAAGCAGTCGGTTGGTGTTGTATTAGGGTTCGGTGTTCAGTGGTGGTTATTCATTCTGCCAGTAGAAGAATGTACTGTTCGAGATAGGTATCTGAAGGATGGAAATACAATGTATTTTTGTATATTCAAAAGTCCATTTCCGTCTAATGTGACATTTCACTTTCGTTCTGCCATTGATTAGAAAAGCGGTTAGTTCAGAAAATTCTAAAAATCTAAAAGAGTACGTGGTACGTCTGGTGGACATATTTGAAAGATTCGAAAAACTGGAAGGGAAAAAATTGATGCAATATGTCCAGTGGAAACTTTTATCGGTAGCCCAACGTTCAATCTGGGTACCTTTTATAGTAGACATACCTGGGTAAGGCTGCAGATATAACAGAAGAGGTAACGTGACTGTTAGCAGCACTGACTCTATAACGGATGCATGTACACCTTGTGACTGCACAATTAGATCTGGTTGTTCATATTCTGAATTAATGTGAAGAATTCTGCAGCAACTGAAGACAAATGCAGAGACGTCGACTGCCACGCTGTCACGCTTCTCAGTTAATTCAAGATCTGCTTCAAGAGGTTGTCACCGTAGATGAAACAGAAGAACTCGCGACACTGAGGGAGTGGCTATCATTATGTCCCCTTGAAGAGCATCAAAGGCTTTCATGCAGGATAATAACAGCAAGGTTAAACTCAAAAGGAAGAAAGTTACAATCATACAATGCTACACAACGCACCTACAAAAAATGCAGATCAAGAAAAGAAGGAGGGATTTTATAGACAACTGCAATCAGTAATAGACTATACCCTATCCCACATGGCGACATCAGAATTCTAATGTGTGAGGTGACATGAATGCCAAACTGGGAGCGGACAACACAGGAAGAGAACCAATCATGGGTCGAGAGGCACTCGATAAAATGATGAATGAGAATGGAGAACTGCTTGCAGACTTCTGCGCATTCAACGATCTGGTGATTGGAAGCACTGTGTACAAACACAAGGATATTCACAAGGCAGCGACATGGATTCGATTTCACCAGACACCAGGACACACTAAAAATCAGATCGACTTCATCTCAATCGCAAGAAAGCGGAGACACAGTTTATTGGACACAAGATCAGATCAAGAAGAGGAGCAGATGTAGGTTTACACCACTCACTATGTAATACACGGATCCTACCTTCAAAATCACGTTGAAAGCCTTCACAGAAGTTGGTGGTAGACCACAGTTCAAGTTCAAGTTGAACACCCAGAACAGAAACTGAACTGAAGGACGAAACTACAAAGGACATCTTCACGTCAGCCAATCATCAGAACAAAATAGGAGG